CTTAAAATCACATTATAACTTACGTAGCCATCCGTTGACAACATGGTTCAGATTACTGCAAAATTTTTAACAAAAATGGAGAGCAGTGAAAATCTGCTGACACTTGAGAGTCATTTTTATGGCCTTTCTTCTTATATCACTATTTTAAAATCCTAGATATAGGAAGTCTAATGACTACAGATCCTTTTCGTGATTATTACCATCATCATTATTATTATTTATAGGAGAGCTCTCTAGATGATTATGAAGCCAAAATCTTCTATCTCTCTGCTTTGCTCATCAGCCAATCTACTTTTCCAAGAGCAGGAGGCATTTCCCTATGTTTGAACATTTCTTGTGCCAACCTATTTGCTCACTTTGGTTACTATTTTCCTTGTGTCCCTTCCACAGTAATGGCTCCACACACACCATGAAAACTGCTGTAATTCCTTCAGAGCTGGGAAAAAAAACAGAAATATAGCCCCCTCACTTTATATGTGCAAAAACTGTGGCCTAAGTCAAAAAGAGGGTAAATTAATTGCTAGGGACTTTTGAGTTTTAATTTAGCGTTTTTTTTTCACAACACAATGGCTGCAAATTTTGGTCATTTGCCTCACTCTAAGTTGACAAGAATTCTGGGAATTTTGATATAGCAAATTAGCCCAAATGGTGCAAGTTAAAAAAAACCCATTTAGCAGTAGAGACACCGAACCAATAGATATTAATAAAACAGAACAGGATAAAATGACACTAACTGAAGTTTTAAGGTTAAGAGTTATAGACCTGCTAGAATAAAGACTTTTCCTTTTTAACATTCAGAGTAGGGATACAGACATTCTGCCTAATATATTATTTTTCTACAGCATGTCCCTGGAAAGGAATATTCTATTCATATTGAAAGCAAATTCTTTAAAGAGATCCAATTTTAAAATTTTTCAGAAAAGCAATTTAAAATTAACGTAAGACTGAAACTTGGGTAAAAGCAAATGAAATAACTGAAATTCTCATAAACTTCATCTAGCAGGAGAGCTCCTAAACACAGGTAACCTGGCTTCTTCCATGCTTCCCTTCAGCCCGGTCAAAGCTTGGAGAACAGTTACACTGTGGACTGCCAGAGACAGTGACATTTATAAGATGTACATAAGAGAATGCCTAAGTTATTACTATTCATCTCTCTCCCAACACGGAGGCGTTGGGGCAAGCAGAGGAAATTATATCCATAATTATAATTAGGGCAACAATGGAACTATGTTGATTGTCCCGTTTGTCCTTCTACCTGGAACATGACTAGTGATTGGATAAAGAAGAAAAAACATTATTCAAAAGTTGACCATAAGGAAAGCACTTCATGCATATTAACTCATTTATTTTGCCACACCATGCATATCATTATCTCCTTCTAAACAGGAGGAGAAAAAAAGTAAATAATTGGCCAAAAGTGACACAGATAGGAAGTACTAGATTTGAAATTTGAAACTGAGTTTGTCTGGCTTCTAGCCTATTTTCTTTTAGCTATAGCATATGCTCTCCACTCGGAATTAAATGAACGTAATTATTGGCAGCTATGTATGTGAGTAATACATGTAAACTTACTGTATCACACCACAAGTTGTGTGTGTGTGTGTGTACATATACACATATATATGCAGACTGTTCTCTCCACTGAAAACACTGACTTTCCCTGCTAGTTCCTGGATTTCCACCAGTTACTTTTATTTTACACGTAGCAAGAAAGAGTTTTGAAACTTTATCTTTAATCGGACCATAACTGAAGAAACCTTTCTGGAAAGGCAGCTGTGCTTTAGCCTGTGATGAAATGCAAGACATAAAAGACAACTAGAGAAGAGTCATATATTCCCTGAAGGTAGAATTCAGACAATAGCTGAGAACAGTTAAGGACTAGAAGACAACTTCCTGCATTCATGATTTTTTTTTTAAACAATGCTACCACATTAATTTTGAAGTCACTTTCCAAATTGCTAAGCACACTTACATTCAATTTTCAGTAGAAAGATATATTTAAGTTCAAAGATAAGTGATACCTGAATGATTCACACTTCGCCTCCACTGTTAATGTAGAAAATCAACCAAAAATATTGAAGGAAACACATTCAGTGCACCAGTAAAGGTTAATATATACACAGGGACAAAGGAAGGGGGGGAAGAAAAGACCTAAAAGACACTAGAATTCAACGACTAAAAAAAATTACTTAGGATAGCCTTTACCTATTCCTAAAATGTGTCATTTTATGTGGATTTTTAAAAAGAGCTCATGAGTAACAGAATATACACCCTCCAATTTTTTTCTCTAGTCAGATCAGATTGCAATAAAATTTAAGTTGTATAACGACTAGATATTTCAAGGAATGATATACTGCAGATAGGTAAAAACAAATAGCATTCAAAAGTTAATCCAATATTAAAGGACCACCATTTCCTGCAGAGTGAAAACATAGAAAGATTTGCAAAAAAGGCAAAGTAAATAAAATGACCGCTAAATCTATTGGTAATATTATTAAGACAAAATGACACGTTTTAATGATTAGCTGTATAAGTATGGTTTCTTGGTCATGTAGGATAAGGGAGAAAAAGAAAGTCAATAATCATGCATGCTCTATGAGCTAATGTGTTAGAAGTAGGAAAAAAATATTAATCTTAATGGGAACCATTATAACTGTAATAGGTATCTAGCTAATTCTACCAGTGACTAGCCAATTCCAGCATTAGTATTGAGAACTAAATTCTGACCCAACAGTCCAGGGCCCTAATAGCACTACACCATTTCATTTCAAATTGCATTTAGTTTTATGCCCCATTAGTTGAACATTTATATTAACATTAGAATTAAATTCATTGTGGCGTCATGTGCACGGTTCTGCTGGCAATGCAGCAGTGTTTTTTTCTTTTTTTTCCTACAATCTATTATTACTCCATAAAATGGAAATGTTTTCTAGTTAGGATTCAGTTGAGAAATACCAGAAGGCAGAAGGTGAGGCCAGAAGAAACCTTCATGATATTAGGAAAAGGTGAGAATACTTTAGATGCGGAAACAAAAAATAAACTTGGGAAAGAAAAGAATCTTCAAATAGGACATTCTCAAGAGGGAATGGATGATGTTTCAGATACTATTTATACATTCAAAGTTGGTATCCAGCCCTACCCCAAAATGCAGAAAACATCTTCAAAATGTTAATGCAAAATGATATATGTTGGAAATGTGTTTACCAATTTATTGGAAGTGTTTAGCATGCATTATGGCAGTGGATCAGATTCTCTACATTGCATTTAGGAAAACACCAGGTGAGAGACTTGGGTTTATGTCATATTTCTCTTTTAATTAAAGGTCTCTAATAAGTGGATTTCAAAGATTAAATCACTTTAAATTGCTTTTGGCACCTAAATAGATTTGGCTGCCACACTATTCCTGACAGTGAAGCCACTTGTTTTTTGTTGGTTTGTTTTCATTGAATACAACTGAACTTATGTATTCCTACCTTACAAAGTCCTATCAAGTTTAGGTAGCTATTTTGTGAAAATGAATTATCATAAGAGTACACAGTTAGTGATATTAGTAGATCAATATACAGTTTTTTTCCCTATTAGTATCCAGAGATACAACCCTGGCTTAGGAGGCAGGCAAAATGAGTATGTTCAGTAACATTAGTCTACACAAAAGTATCTTAAGAAGCTAGGTCATTATCATTAGTCATGATAAAGATGTCTCCTCAGATATGTAAGTCAAAAGAAAGTTTATGTGGCAGAGTTATGTAAGGAAACTTACAATAGTGCCTGCCCACAAACCATGCAATTTGGAAACAGCCAAGAAACAAAACCATAGAGAAGGAGAGATAAATACAACATGTATTAGGGGTTATTATGCAACTATAAAGATTCAATATGACCCTGGAGATATAGCAAAAAATAGTTATGGAAAAGAAGCTATTTCTTATGCTCAGTAGCTAATTTTCAAACATATGTACCTGTATTTGAAACTTTGAGCATTTCACACATTTTTCTGTATCTGAAAAAAAAATGGATCCAGACTGATATTGTGTATAAATATAGCTGAAAACAGTTAATATAAAGGTAGCCAAAAGCAAAGTTCAATAAAAATTTTAAAAAAGGATATTATTCTGATTGCTGATAAAGTATTTCTGATGTACACTTTGCTCATATTGGAAAAGAATAATTTACTTTTCAATTTTCCTAGAAAGGATGAATTATCTATAGTAAGATGATTTCATAAAATGTTTAATTAAATAAAAAACTAGATTAAAGTGTCTAGATCGAACAGTAAGTATAATTAAAAACTTTAGAAATAATATATAACTCCATTTTGACAATATATATTCGATATCTAACAGTTACATCTGTTTTCTAGATAATTTACAATAAAAGCATTATATATTTTCATTTTTAAATGTTCAAGGGCACTAGGCCTATGAAAATAACACATATCTTTAAATAACTTATACTGGAAAATTAAGAAAGGCATACCCTTCAGGGCAAATGTATTTAATATAAGGTAACACAAGAAAAGCACATAAAATTTTCTTATTCATGTGACTATAAGTATTAAATAAGAAATACCTGAACATATTAATATGTTTTGAAGGGGAAGGACTGTTAAGACAATAGTGGTAGTACAAAAGTTCATATGTTCCAGTAGATAATTTATATATTATGATTTGAACACATATTATATATTGAATATATAACACAACTAATCTTCCCATTTGTGGGCATTTGACTGGGACTACCACATTTTATGCACATTTAAAGAAAAGAAAATGATAATGCTAGAAACAGGTTTCTAGCAATATATGCAATAGACTTAGTGAACATACAACCAAAATAGAATTCAATAGTAATAGTTTAAATGTTGGGTGTGACCATGATATAGTCTAATTTATGTTGAAGATAGAATACTCATAGCTATTTAAACAATATTTAATAAGCATATAATATCAAATTTCAAAATGCATGCCTTTTTCTTTTCTTTTTTTGTTTTTTTAACTTACTGCTTTGTAAGTTCTCTTTTGTCCAGCATGTTTCCGAATTTGTTCTCCATTTGGCCCTGTTTCCACATGCATTGAATAGATAATGTCAAAGAAATCTTCAACCACAGCTACCCGCCGCAAAGATAGCTTCTCATCTACCCCTACGCCATCCTGGAAACAAAGCCAAAAAAAAAAAGGCACAAGATTAATAAAGAAATATGGAAATATGTATTTAATATATAAGGTTGACACAGAAAGTTCATTAGACAAAAACATTTTAATAAACTGATCCAAATCATCTAGATAGTAAAGTTCAAAAAATTATGATTGAATATCTCATTTTATATATTATTTACATACAAAACTTTAAGAAACATGAAAAAAAGATATTTGGCATAGTCAATCACGCTTACCCATTAATGCCATCTTTTAAATTTTAAAATGACTTAGTTGTAACCATCAGTGTAACTTTCTTAAATTACTCTGAAATACATTATTAAGGTCCAGTAATTTTTTTGCTGTAATAATTTCTTCTAGATATTGATTTCTTATCTAATCAATATCTATTGTGTCCCTGGGTACTGGGCATTGTGATTAGAGAAATGAAAGAAATAATATGAAACCTCTACCCTTAATATCATACAATCTAGGAAAGAAAATTCATCTACTCTGCTATCCATATTAGACTAAGGGAGAGTACGGGTTAAAGGTTAAAAATGTGAGCTCTGGAGATGATCTAGGTGTGAACTTTGGATCATCCACTCAGAAGTTGTGCATTTTGTGCAAATCTTTTAAACATCTCGAAATTTGTTTTCTCACCTATAAAATAGGGATAATAGAACCTCCTTCGCAGACCTGTAGTCATTAAATGAAATAATGTATGTAAAGGATATAACCCAATATTTGGCATATAGTGAACAGTCAATAAGTGGTGGCTTTTGCCATTTTGATGATCATGATAAAAATATAGTCAAGCAGTAGGGGAGTTCAGAGAATAAAGATGTCACCTTCTACTGAAGCAACTTCATGCAAGAAACAGAATTTGACATAGGTGGGAGCTGAAGCAGGGGATAAGTCATGGCAGTGGGAAAGACAGCAAAGAGCCAAAAGTTTCCGTACATGACTGAGAAGAATAAATAATAAGTTTGGAATGAGATAAGAGATAAATTTAATCTTACATGGCTGCCACATGAATGAATTCACTACTTCTGAGTGGAGGATCCAAAGTTAACACCTAGATACTCTCTAGAGCTCCCATTTTTAACCTTTAACCCATCTGTCCCTTAGTCTAATGATGACAACACAGTAGATGCATTTTCATTTCTGAAATGAAAGGGTTTCCTACTTGCAAACACACACACACACACACACACACACACACACACACGCACACACACACACTCTCACACAATGTTCTTAGTCAGACCTTGAGGCATAACCTCAAGTAACATGACAGTTCCATAGATGCTGGCATACAACACAAGAAGATGATTAACCTGAGCAAAATCATTACGCAGTCAATGAATCAAATGGCAAAAGCCTCTTTGAACAGTAGTGCCAGCAGACTGAGCTTACTGCAAAACTGAAAGCAAATCACCTGATGCTTTTTGTTAGTTTGGTTTTTATTTTATCTATTTATTTCTTCTGGTTTACAATAGGTCTCAGTAGCAGCAGTGCCTAAAGCAGGATATTCAAATAACTATATACATTAAGTTTTATATATGGCCAAACAGCCAGGCGTTCCACCTTTGTTAAATTTGAAGTGCTCCCTCACAAATTATCTGTGATGCATGTGGGTCCTCACTAGGTTTCAGACCTTTCTGATTTCTCTCCTTTAACATCTTGAGCCATCTCTTCTTCTACACTGGGCTCCATGGATAATCCTTCATTGCCTTATGATGCAAGACCAATGTGCAGTGAGAGGACAGGGAAGCTGCATGAACCACAGCAGTGACCAGCCTGGAAATTAGTTGAAACTTAGAGGATAGTGTCAGGGAAGCACCATTTCAGATGTCCACCCGCCAGCTCTCCTGGCCTACCTCCTCCTCCTCAGAGAACATCCACTCTTCCTTATCTCGAAATCCAAATTCTAAGTCCACTGACTAGCAAAACTACCCTCAAAACTTCATCTTTTCTCTCAGAAATAAAACTTAGAGTTTCCTCTCAGTTCCCTTGCCAGATAACCAAAAATACAGTAATTTTGTACAGTTAGTAAACTATGAGTGATGTACGGATCATAGCCTATGAATTCATTCCTTCAGCACATATCCTAAAAGTACCAACTACTGCCAAGCCCTATTCTGCTAGGTGCTGAAGTTATCAAAGTGTATGAGACAGATAACCCAGGTTTTTGTGGTTTTCAGCCTAGTAGAGAAAATATTAAACAAATCATTGCTACGGCTATATATTAATTTCCTGTAGCTTCTGTAACAAATTACCACAAAATGGGTGGCTTACAAAAAGGCAAATTTATTCTCCCATAGTCCTGGAAGCTAGAAGTTCAAAATCAAGATGTTGACAGAGCTGGTCTCCCTTTAAAAGCTCTAGGGAAGAATCCATTCTTTGTCTTTTCCAGGCTCTGGAGGTTGCCGGCATTCATGGCTTGAGGCCATATCACATTGACTTCTCTTTGACGTGTTTCTCCTCTGTGTCTCTCATTTACAAGGACCCATCTTATATGAGGGAATGTAGGGCCTGACCAGATAATCCAGGATAATCTCCTCCTATCAAGATCCTTAACTTAACTGCATCTTCAAAGACTCTCTTCCCCAAGTAACTTTTACAAATTCCCAGAATTGGGATTTGAAGTCTTTGGGCAGGCATTATTCAACTGACTACAGGTAATATGTATCAGAGTACAGAAGGTACAAGTTGTGCTATGGGAGCATATATTGGAAATGGCTTACAATTATTGGCCAACAGTAAACACTCCCTGATTTCAGACTACACTACAAATCTACAGTAGTCAAAACAGTATGGCACTGGCATAAAAACAGAAGCATAGATCAGTGGAACAGGACAGACAGCCCAGAAATAAACCCACGCACTTATGGTCAATTAATCTGCCTCAAGGGAGGTAAGAATACACAGTGGAGAAAAGACAGTCTCTTTAATAAGTGGTGCTGGGAAAACTTGACAGCTACATGTAAAAGAATGAAACAAAAACGTTCTTTAGCACCATATACAATCTCATTTACTATTGCATCAAAAAGAATAAAATACTGAGGAATAAACTTACCTAAGGAGACAAAAGACCTGTACTCCAAAAACTATAAGACCCCAATGAAAGAATTAAAGGTGACACAAACAGATGGAAAGAGATACCGTGTTCTTGTACTAGAAGAATTAATATTGTTAAAATGACCATACTACCAAGGCAATCTACAGATTCAATGCAATCTTTATTAAAATACCAATGGCATTTTTCACAGACCTAGAACAATTAATTTTAAAATTTGTATGGAAACACAAAAGACCCCAAATAGCCAAAGCAATATTGGGCAAGAAAAATGGAGCCGGAGGTATCAGGCTCCCTGACTTCACACTATACTACAAAGCTACAGAGATTAAAACAGCATGGTACTGGCAGAAAAACAGAAATATATATATAATGGAATATTACCCAGACATAAAAATGAATTAGATGTTGCCATTTGCGACAACACGGATGACCTAGAGAGTATTATGCTAAGTGAAATCGTTCAGAGAAAGACAAATACTGTATGATTTCACTTATGTGTAGAATCTAAAAAACAAAACAAGTGAACAAACATAACAAAACAGAAACAGAGTCACAGACACAGAGAACAAAGAGATGGTTGCCAGAGGGACAGGGCATAGGGGATGAGTGAAACAGGTGGGAGAAATTAACAGGTATAAGCTTCCAGTTACAAAATAAATGAGTCACAGGGATGAAATGTATGGCATGGGAAATATAGTCAATAACAATGTAATATCTTTGTATATTAACTAGTCTTATTGTGGTGATCATTTTGTAATGTATAGAAACACTGAATCACTAGATATGCACTGGGAGCTAACAGAATGTTATAGATCAGTTATACTTCAAAAAGCAAACAGTCATAGAAAAAGAAATCAGATTTGTGGTTACTTGAAGAGAAGGGTAAGAGTAGGGGAAATTGGATTAAAGTGGTCAAAAGGTACAAACTTCCAGTTATAAGTCCTAGGGATATAATATACAACAAGATTAATATAATTAACACTATTGTATGTTATATATGAAAGTTGTTAAGAGTTTTCATCACAAGGAAAAAATTATTTTTCTCCTTTTACTTTGTATTTATATGAGATGATTGATGTCTACTAAACTTACTGTGGTAATCATCTCAGGATGTATGTAAGTCAAATTATTCTGCTGTACAGCTTAAACTTATAGTGTTGCATTTCAATTATATCTCAATAAAACTGGATGGCCAAAAAAATAAGAAAAATCTCAAATCAGATTCCTATCTTTCCACCTTAAGTAAGTAGAAAAAGAGTAAAGTAAAATGAAGCAAAAGGGGGAAATATTTAAAAAGAGGAGAAACAAATAAAAGAGAATAGAATACAATGAACAAGATCAGTAAAACCAAAGAGTAGTCTTTGAAAGAGTTTTTTAAATGACAAAACTTTAGCTTTACTGCTCCAAATGAAGAGGGAGAAGACTCAAATTACTAAAATCAGGAATAAAAGAAATATCCCTACTGACCTGACAAAAATAAAAAAGGGTTTAAAAATATTATAAACAACTGTATGCTAACAAATCAAATAACCACATAAAATGAACAATTCCTAGAAAGATGTAAATTACTGAAATTGACTAAAAAAAAGAAAATCTGAATAGGTTTGTGACAAGTAAAGATACGAAATTAGTAATGAAAAAACACTTTCACAAAGAAAAGCTCAGGTTCAGAGGGTTTTACTGGACTAAACATTCAAGGAATAATGGCCAATTCATCAGAAAAACAGATGAGAAAACACTTCTGAAATCACTCTATGAGGCCAGGATTACCTTTATATCAAAACTAAATACATCACAAGGAAAACAACTACAGACAAATGTATTTTATGAATATAGATATACAAATCTTCAACAAAACACTAACAAATTCCAATCATATATATAGTAATTATTATTATATACCACAACCAAGTAGGATAATCCCAAGTTG